TGGATCCTGACATTTAGCATGGAAATACTGCCTTGCCTACTTTCATATATCATTTCTGATTCAAGAATATTTTCTTTTCTGAAAACATGTAACATGCCTTATGTCCTTTCTGAACAATCAGAAAATAGGTTCCATGCACGTCGGACAAAATATTTCCCAGTGTAAGACCCCCCGCCCTTGTTAACCTAATTACCACACCAGGGTTCATTCTCAGTCTCATTTGCACTTTTCTCTGCACTTGTCTTCAACACCTCACTACCTTCCCAGGGCAGGGCGAGACACACAGAGATACACGCCCCACTCATCCCCCCCCCATGAGCAGTGGTTGCGTCAAATTACGGCGCTTCCTATCCTCATCAAGATTTTCCGTCTCAAGGCTCATGGTCGTATGGCGGGGAAGACGTCTCCCCTCAAGAACAGGAACTCCCCGTAGGAGGCAGACATGTGGGTCACAGTTTTGTCTCTGTAGAAGTTATTGCAGTTTGTTCCGTGACAGGATTTGAACTTCAGACCTTCCAAATCAGAGGACAGAAGTCGTCGGGGCTCCTAATCTACACGTACAGTACTCCGCATGTCATGTAGCAAGTGTTTGTGTCATAGCTGGCTATGATGTTGCTACAAATCATTGAATCTTGTCTTACGACAAACTTGGGGTATTTTAAGTAGTATAACTGTTGGGTTTAGAATTGTCATGGGTCAAGATAATGACATTGGCAATGACATAATGACAGTGACATCATTTGTGTCAGTCATGCATGTTGTGTCACCTTAATCTTATCGTAGAACTTTTATGTGGGATGTACAGTTGGTTCAAATTATTATGCAATACTGCTCACAATCAAGCACTATGTCAGATCAAAACTTTATCTTCACCAGGAATCTCAGCCGTAACATGAAGCCATCATACCCATGAACAGATCCAAATGTAAAACACAGTGTATCCATCCTTCCATCCTTCCAAAATTTTTAGGATTATATTTTTTGTCTTGTCCAGGAAGATATTGACAATAATGCAGAACACCAAGAACTGTTAAATATTCTCTGATTAAATTTGATTTCCCTTCCATATACAAAATCATCAATTATCTTGAACATTCTTCACCCTGGTTTAGGTTTTTTTTTTCTGTTTCCTTTTTTTTTTGAAAGTTCCCCTTCAAACAATGAAATGGAAATTAACAATTTGAATGTGAAAGACCTAGCCCCATCCTCTTGTAATTCCACAGTGCTTGGTCTTCTCACAGGGAGGTGCTTACTCGCTATTAACAAGGCGGCACAAAGTGACAAGCCAGACGGAAGTTACAGAGGAACTTACCAAGGAAGTTAAAAGACAGAACCCCCCACAGGATGTGTGAGGGGCTCTCCCACCTTCAACAGTTGGCCCCTGGCCAGGCACCACTTCCTCTCCTTACTGCAGACGTTGCATTTTCTCTCTTCCTTCCAGATTTCACTAATTGTTCAGGGATGTAATTGAATTTTCCCTTGCGTGATTGCTGGGCCCACCCCGTAAAGCTAGCACATGGTAGTGCAGGTTGCAACAAGGAGAGAATGTAATTTGTTGACAATGGTGTTAGGGGGTCAAGAGAGAAGGGAACTATGAACCTGGATTAAGGGACTGGGGCGTAACTAGGAACGATTTTCCCTTATTCATCGGGAGGAACCCCAAGGATTTCCCTGTTGATTGCTCAGAGCTTTAAGTTGATGCATCTCGTTCACATTTTCTGTCTTGTTTGTCGATTGCTGTTTGGAAAACACGCCAGCTTTCATTTCCACTCATGTCAACACTGACATTGGAATCATTCACACATTCATCCCTGAGGTTTTAAGGGAGGAAGATGCTAACCACATTTACAATGTCATCCACTGCCTCAGTGGGACAGTTTCATGTTAAATCTTAGGATGAGAGGAGCTAGGCTGATTCTGTACTCACAGTCTTCAGTTCTTGACTGATCATCCATATTTGTCTTCACAGTAACACTAGGGATTCACTACACTATCTCCCTTACTCCTTCCATGAATCCTTTGTCCCTGCCCCACCCCCTTTCTGCCATCCCAGATCAACCAATCATCTTCAAGAGAAGTTTTATGGGTGCATCTTAGCTACTGAAGGACACACAGAGCCCAGGGGCAGAAAACATCAGCATTTGTGTATGATGCCACATTGTCAATGTTCTCAACATTCACTGGATTATAAGTTGATCCTGGAATGAAAAAAAAAATGCCAAATTGCTTCCTCTAGAGAACGTGCTCAAGACAACAGGCCAGCCTTGCAGGACCACAAATTTCTACCGATCTCATCGGCGGCCAAGGTCAATACCTACATGTATGTGTGTTTCAAACCAGCCCTTCTGTCACTGCACTCTTAATGGTAATTGGATATCGTTAATGTCTGCTGAAAAAAACTGCTTCCACTTCATAGTGCTCTGAAGGCCATGGAAGTAAAATCACGTTTTCTGCAGTGCTAGTGATAACTGTATGGGTAACAGTACCTAAAGATCAAGGCTGTGTTCTGGGAAAAGTCAGGCTAAATTGACAATTTCATTTCCAGAACTATAATCCAGATGACAGTGTAAATGCTTTGGTGCAAACTGCAAACGTGGAAGTAGTGCATTGAACTCTTACTTGTATGTTCCATCCCTGAACTTTTGGCAGATGGTATTGCCCCGTTCAAGGTTCCGATTCTGAAACTCTGAAACTCTAGAATTGTGGAGCTTTTGTACATTTGTTCTCACCAGTGGTGAAACCCTGGAGATATTAAACAATAGCAATTTATAGTTCCTTGCCCAAACGAACACAAAACTACTACATGTGGGCTCTGGGTTCTTGAGTGGGAGTATAGAGAAAGAATTAATGGATATTGACATAGGAGCAGGTGGTGTGCAGGATGTTATTAAAATAAATTGAAAGATAAGCAACGGTGTGATGATTGAGGAGACAAACGTTTCCCTTCCCGCCTGAAGAAGACAGTGAAAAAAAGGATGCACCCAGATCTCATTTTTTTTTTAGAAAATCCTGGATTATTGACAGTTTGCCATGGGAGTTGAACGAAGAGTGAAACGCTTCAGTCAAAAAAAAGGGGGTAAACAGACTGACATATCTGCATCCCCATCCATGCTGACAGTCCCCCTCAGATATGTCTCAACAAATGCAGGTGGCAAGCACTCGGTTGGGGCCTGCGCTTGTGTGGTCGAAACTTGGGGAGAATTAAGGCATTTCCTTCCTCTCAAATCCCATCCTGTTTCAAGCAAGTCTCTGCCAACAACCTGCTAATCGAGGTACTTAGATAAGATGCTTTCGACCCCAAAGGGATCTGCTATCATAAACCAACTTTATCTCTGTTGAGTACTTTGCTTACGCAAGTGGAATCAGTTCCAAACATTTTCTGTCACTTGAGACTAAACCAGGATATTGTTAGTATGGGAACTTGTCAGAAGCTTAAAGAAATCAAGCCATGATTTCATTGATATCATTGATTTTTATGGTAGTAGGAGGGACAGGAAGCGATAAGAAGAATTAATTTATTAATCGATCCGTGAGGGGAATCTGACTGGAACAACATCAAAATCAGTCGCTGCTTGACTCAAACAGGATTCCAACCTCTGAGCTCTATCTGCAAGGAGTTGAAGTGCGCCCTCACTTGCAAAATAAGAGTGGGCTAATGGGAGCTTTTCCAACTGGGCCCTGTTCACTTTTGGAAGAAAAAAAAATAGTGCCGTGTTCAGCATGACTAGCACCAAACACCCTTAAACCTGTGTGTGCACACTGTGACTACCCAGCAAAACATGCTCTCTCTTCCCACTCAGAGTGGATTGACTGAACTGTCCAGCTTTGTGTTGGCAATCTCCCACTTACTCCTAATCTTTGTTCAGGGGAATTTTGTGCCGTCTGTTCTGGTATTACTTCCAAGTCAGACACAAGTGACAACAGCAGTGCTATAGACCTAGAGATCTGAAGTTCTTCTCATTTTCCCTCTGTCCTTCCGTCTGTTGTCTCCTCCCCCCCCCCATGGTGAAATGGCTGTAGAAGGAGCCGGTAGCATTTTCATCAGTTACATGTACATCTTGATAAACTTGAGGAGAAATGAAGAACTCACCTGTGAGTGGTAAATACCACGAGTGCTCCAGTATTGCAGCATGTCAAGCAGTCTGACCCCTCCCCAACCCTGGCCCCCCTCTCAGTGTTGGGTCTCACTGCTTGGTCTGCACTCCAGCTCCAGATGACACCATTGGCCAGGAGAGTGGGGGGGGGCGGGGGGCTGAGGAGGGGGTGACTATTGACTCATGTCCCAACAACTTTGACCAGGGTTGGAGCTTACCATAAACTTCACAGAGATACCGTACTTAAAAAAACAACAGTCATTAAATTTGATAAGTGATTTCGTGAAACAGCCTGTTACCTTCGAGACCCAGTCGATTGTAGGTATACCAAAGTTGATTTGAGCTCTCCAGTGTCATGTATTGGCAAATCTGGGATGTGGAGTTGCCAATGAGGGTTGGCCCCATGAGGGAGAAAATGGGGAGGGAGGAATATGAGAGAAAAGCAATATGTAAAGGGGACTGTCTTATTTCCCTTCTTTCCCAAAGTGTATAAAAAGCCCCAAGATTTATCCTCGCCCCTCAGAAAGGCCATAAAATTTTATCCCATAAAAAATCCCTGATTTCCCCCTTGAGAAGGGTTTGCATCTCCCCCCCCCAAACTTGGTCTCATGACCCACTTTTGAGTTTGTTCTCCTTTTTTGCCCCCTCATACCTGATCCATTTCCTCACCTATATTCCACTTCCTCACACCTTCTCCCTCCTTACTTTGACAACTTCCCGTTCTGATCAGTGGCCTGTAATTCTTGTTGCATGCCGTATACCTCACAGCATCCAACATTCATGTGAAACCCTCCCCGTTTCCTGTTCCATTCTTCAACTCCCTTCCTCCCCGCCACGGCCAATATCCGTCTTTCTTGATCTTCATCTCTTAATCTCCGCGTTACTTGTTCCTATTGTCATCGGCAGGTATGCTCTTGGAGATTGCCGACGCCCACAGCTGGAATCAGCTGAACTTATTGAGGACATCCTGCGTCAACAGTTGATCAGCCTGGTAAACAATTTCTCTGAAATAGTGATTCTGTCATCCAAATTGATTGTTGTATTTACTGGAGACTGTTACCAGAGTAGTTTACCATGGGGTATAAATGGTTATCATATCAAAAGGTGGCACAGAACTGACAGGTACCATGTTGAATGGGATGGGGCGATGGGGGTGTTAATAAGAATGTGACGGAGGGGTGATCCCATAGCCCGTGCCCCTGGTCAAGAAGTGTAGAGACAGAAGGTGGTCAGAGGACGCTGTCCAAAACATCTTGCCAACCCCCACAGGTGACATTTCCTGCACGCAGTAAGCTCACAACAACATTCAGTAAACAGCAGTTTGCCCAACAAACTTTACCTGAATAACCTCAGAAATCTATATCAAATGACAATCTGCATTTGATATGACAGGATGTAGATGAAGTGCGCATATGTCTTTTTATAGCTAAATTGCAGAGTCTTATCACAGAGATGGATTACACTCTCATCATCATCTCATGCAATATGAAGACAGCTCATAGTTACTTTCATTTCTAGCAGGTGATTTGACAACTTTCCCTCCCCCAAAATAACACCCTTTTTGTCTGTTTTTGATCCCATGCTAGGAAGATGAATCAGTCACCGCCTATAATAAGAAGCGCTATTTTTCACTTTTTTTTTTAATTCGGCTCCTGTAATCTCTCCTGGCGGAGATGCGAAAAAGCCCAGGATGTCCTGATGGTGGAGTAAAAAAGAGCCTCTAATTCTGTCGGCTCACCTTATAAAAAGACACAGCACTGCTTCAAATCTGTTCAGGATTCTGATGGTGTCATGCTTGGATAAATCGCTTGTCAGATTTGCACACCGTGGGGCCTATTCCTTATTTGTTTCACCTGTTATGACTTTCTTATCAGTATTTCGCGGGGCGTTTAAGTTGTTTTCCATCGTCATTTTGTCTAACTTTAGCCCCACCGTAATCCCACCCGACTGAGTTTGTCATCCTACATGTATGTGTTACTATCAAGTCTCCTTGGAGCAATTGCGTGGGAGGCATTTATATTTAGGACCAATAAAACAGGTAAAGGCCATGTCTGGAATGGTCTACCAGAGCTATGGGATCCTGTCTGTTGCCAGCGTGATCCAAGAAAGCCCCTTTATTTGCAACCAGCAAACGCCCATGCCAAGCTCAAGACACTCAATTGATGAGAAGTTTTGTAGTTGAGTACTTTTTGTGTACACAGTTCACTGCCGATTATTGAAGTGGTTGAGAGGGGACACAGCTAGAGAACAGTGGTCCTTTGAGGGTAAATACATTAAGAGAAGGTTACCAAACAACTTTCAGACTTCAAACACTCCAAATTTTGTACACTTTGTTTTAAGGAGGAAAAAGTACATACTTGTCAGATTACATTTCAACTACTTTTTGTCGTAAAAACCTTTGATTAAAATTTTGATTAAACAGATTAAACAGTGAATGGCGTGAAGTCATCATTGAATGTTGTGATCTTACCTACATCTATTTACCACCCCAGTGGCTTGTGGCCTCAGCTTTGTTCCCATACTAACCAATTTTGGCAGGGAAGAGGGCACTGGCTAGTTTGCACACATATTGGCCCTGTAGGATCAGTTTGTGAATGCCACTTTGTTCGTGCTATTTTCTGTCACTCAGCAGCCTTTGTCTCAAGCAGACATCAGCAGAAGACATTTCTTGCTTGAGTTTTGTGAACATGTAGAGTGGGTTGGTCACTTCAAGGTACATGAGAGCAGTATGGCGTGAGTGAGCTGGTTTGTGGTGTTACCAAGGAACTTGCCTCAACAGGGGCTTTCTGTGCAATTGTACAGTGCCCTCTACAGCTCCTGCTCATGGCCAATAACCTGTATTCTCTATAAGGCCGAGTTGGGGCGGCTTGTTCCCGTATGTTCACGAACAGCTCGATTTGTTGTTCGTGGGTCGGCCACTCGAATGCCGGGAACAAACAACTGGTTATCGCTGGTAGTCTAGTTAGTGACAAGCATCATGCAACATGGCGGCGTCCATGTAGGCTACGTTATTCGAGAGTTAAAGTTTTGGATGGGTTGTATTTTTTTCTATATAAACAGGAACATTCATTTCTTTTTTAATAATGTTAATTTTGCAAAACTTCCCATTACCTTTGGCTTTGTAAGCCATCTCTCTACTTTTTGCAGCTGTACGAAAATCAAAATCTCACGAGTTTTTCCGTGTGTTCCTGTAAAACTCTGACGAGGAGGTGGTGTGTGATCCTGTTCCGAGAACAGTGCTCTTGAGTCGTGTTCCCGCCATTCGAGCGCGAGAACAAGAAACCCATGTCAAGAACATGTCGCCCGAACTCGTCCTAAGTGAATGAACAACAGATTGCTACCAGTTTGGAATCTGTGCTGAAAAACATCGGAAGATTTTAGGCAAAGATTAAGAACATTTTTTTGCACTGTCATTGTTATGCCCATACCGGTACCAACCTCACCTATCAGTAGACCAGTAACCATCTCAAGACATCAATGATCATTCTATTTTATCGTATCTGTCTATCGCACCTGCTGTCTCTTCACCTACAAAGCAAGACCAAATGGGCCAAATTGTGCCTCGTCATCCAGGATTAATTCCTGCACGTTTTCAGCATGTCATCCTGATTGCAGGACTCTTAATGTAGCCCAGGCGTCTCCAGTGCCCAAGGAGCATTCTGACGTGCGATGTGAGCTGATCGGACCCACCCCAAATCCCAGGTGGATGGTGTTAATAGATTGAGGGATAAACCCCAAGTCTGCTCAGGAAACGAATAACATAGTCGACCTGCGCTCTTGGGGTTGTTAATTTGTATTATGAGCTGACAATGAAACACAAGAACCATCGGCCAGTACAATTCGCCCAGGATCCCCATCAGTAGCCCAAGGGGCTAGTGGGGGCCACCAAATATATGCCTCCGAAAAGACGTCAATGCAGCTGTCATCTTGTCAGGGCTGTTTAATTGATTGATTAATCGAGACCTCTATAAGGACAGCATTCATGCGATGTTTGCGGAGCAATCTCGCCTGGTTTGGGACAAACAGGAAATGGGTCGTTTTGCTGGATCTTGTTAGTGAGTTTCCTGGGCAACTGTCCCCCCCCTCGCCATTTTTCGGCCGGCCTGATGGCAGTTGAGTTATCTGGGATCAGAATGACGTAGGTTGTGATGTCATGGACTGCTTGCAAGCCTTTCCCCCATCCACCTCTACTGCCTTGATGGGATTAGTAAGCAAGTCGGTGACTTGGCACCACACAGGCACAGCTGGTGAAGAGATCAGTTAAGGGCTTGTAGTAACTAACAGCCAATCTGCTGCTGGTGGTAGTGACATTTATCATATCTGGTTCTTGCATCACAATTCAAGTGCCAAGATAGATAGTCCATCTTCTTAAAGCAGCTCTCTGAGAACTGTGAACTTTGAAAGGTGTACCATTTCTATCACTAAGTTTTATTGGTAACTCCACTCTCTTCAGATACATAAGCACATCAATTTGTGGACCAAATGATTAAAAACATTCATTTGCTGTCTTTTTTGTTCACTGAAAATTGAGCAACATGAGCGATTTGAGCATCATGAGGACAAGGCAGTCATAAGCAGCATAAAGACAGAAGATGGTTCCCTCTTGAATGACTATTCTAGATGTCTAGATGTGATGCTTTTCTAGACATTGAAGTTAGTTTCCAGTCACATACACCGGACAAAAATCCTGTCCTTCATTTCTGTCATTTTTTTCCAAGAATGCCTTCAATTTGGAGAATTGTTTTGCAGCATTATTTGGCAATACTAGAGTCCAATTTATCAAATAATTTTAACCAACCCAAAAAATTGTAGTCCTGTTAACGGTTCAGAAGTGAGCCTGTTTCTACTTTGTCATTAAAAGCTATTTATATGCTGCGAAGTCTGGCTTGACTGTCAAAGATATTTACGAATCAGAAATGTCTCCTTGGAATTGCTTGCATTTTTTGTAAATGGCACAAACAACCACAATTTCCCGGAGTGCTTGGATCGGCTGTTTGGCTGTAAATTTGCTCCGATCTTGTGACTGTGATGACAGTTTCTGTGGTTTTTTTGGAAGCCAGTTTTGAAATGTCCATTTCATTTCCTGCACGTTGATGGGCTATTTTTACTCTGACCTCCACAGGGAGACAATTAATGACTGCAACAGGTTTGGAGTTGTTTTTCCTCCCCGATAAACAAGATATCCCTGGCTTGAGAGTTGAACAATTTGGGAAAGATAAGGGTGTGGAAAATGGATTGGTATGGTGGTCCTATTTCCCTTCAGGTGTTCCTTGTTTAAAGTGTATTTTTAAAATTTTCTGATTCAATTTGCTAGAAACATTGTAGGTATGATAAGGTCACAATGGTGGATACAAAGGAAAAAGTGAAATACTGGGAGTTTTGGGGGAAAAAAAAGCAAATGCTCGAGTTTTTGACATCTTCCTTACTTTTTATCAACACAGTTACACGTGCATCATAATCAATTACACTTTTATGTGCAGTCCTAGAGATAGTTTAGCTCGTGTTCCTTTAACATCAACAGCACAGTTTTGTGAAATACACAGCTGCTGGTGTATTTCCTATATAGTATAGGCCAAACATTTTGCTTCCAGAATAGTGAATGTCTCTGCTTGTCAAATTACTCAAGGTAGACCAAACTTGAAGACTTGCTCCGCCTTCGGGTCTACAGTTGTAATTTGTAAACATGTTGCCTCATTGTATCAAATGACACTTACCTGTAGTTTCTTAGACACCCTGTACATCATAGCGCAGACATAAATGCCTTTCACCCAACTAATGACTTCAAACATTAAATATTTGTGTGAGAATATCTCTGTTTTTGCTACCAAAGGTTAAGAACATTTACATATTGTCTTGTATTTTCTTTAATGTGAAACCATACACCATATGTCTTTAACAGTTGTGTCCAATCTCACATTTGCAGTTGCAGCGGGCTGCTGACGTCTGCTACATGCGCAATGCTCGCTTCATCAGCATTGAAGACTTCATTTTCTTGATGCGCCATGACCGTGACAAGCTGCGACGGTTGTTGCAATTCCTACATCACAGAGATCAACGGCAGAAACTGGCCAAGATGATGGGCACATCAGGCGAAGATGAGGAGCTCACGCCAGGGGATCTGGGTAGGAACTTGCTCGGAAAGACCTTTCAGTTTTAGGGACATTCAAAATTTATCCAAAGAAATACAGAGTTGTAGTCAAGTCATTGTAAACAGAATCCCAAATCTAATGATTAGTCAAATCATAGTCCAATTATATTTATTGTCATGAATGTCATATCTCTGTCGCCATTTATTTGAATAGCTCTTGAATTGATTTCAAGACAACTTGTGAGGACTCTTAGTGACTTGATGTGACATGTGAAAACTTGTGAATTATGGGAACTTGTGGTGATGTACCAGGCCTTGTGGTGACAGGGAAGGGATTTGTGGTGAATTTGAGGACAGTGTGGTTCTTGTCAGGACTTCATTCCAAGACCTTCTTGTAGTTCATCTTTCTGTCACACCCTTTCATTTTTCTCTTCTTCATTCGCTGTCTCCTGACATCCCATTCTCCTCTCCTCACACTCTTCTGTTGGTTCGCTTAACTCAGACCTTCCCAAATCTAACTCAAACTCACAGCTGGTTTTATTTGCTTCTGTTGGAAATGGGCTATTGGATCCAGGTACTATATGTACTGTATATTTTATTAACACCAGACTTGATGTCCAAGTTTTGTTGCAGTGCCAGGCATGCTTCATTTAGTTTCTGAAGCTCTCAAGTACAAATGGATTTGAGTTTCAAGTTAACGCGCCCGTGTTGTTTTATTCTTCCACAGATCAGAAAGCATTCTGCCGACGCCAAAAGATTTCTTACGACTTCCTGAGCACCATCGACCAATCAGGGGAGTTGTTGTCACTGCTGGATAATGATGAGGCCGATCCAGTCAAGATGGAGAGATTGGAACGAGCTGAGATGAGGACACGATATATGGACAGCAACACGTACAAGGAGTTTACTGAGGCTCGCCAAGTCAACTTCTGTGAGTACTTTATAAGGACATTGCTGTATCTCCGAAGTTTGATTTGGTTATATTCATTTTACCAACATTTGTTTCAATCACTTTCCTTTGCCCTAACTTTTCCAGATTCTTCAACATTTGCAGGATTTTGGAAGGTCTGTTACTTTACCATGGGCTTGACACCCTTTCAAAATGCCAAAGAATGTGCCGTTAGTTTCCTGCACTGTGGAAAATATTTCCAGGATTTAAGGAAATCTTTTCAAAAATAAGTTAGTCAGGAGTAAGTGTTAAATACCCATTCCCCTGCTCACAAATTCACACCTCTGTATTTTTGATTTTTTTTTTTGCTCTCCACAGCTAAGAAGGGATCCAAATTCAAGGAGTGGTTGGACTACTCGTCTTTGGAACCTAAACCCAACCCTTTTGCTTTGGAGATCATGCAGTACCTTGCGTATGAGACTGTAGCTCAGGTTCGTGTCATGTATTGTTAAAAAAAAAATTTTCAACACTTACCTTTATTTTACCAACATTTGTTTCAGTCGTTTTCCTTTGCCCTAACTTTCCCAGATCTTTCAAAATCCACCAAGACGTTTTGTAAGATTTCACAGCAATTTGGAAGGTGTTGTGCTGACCTTTTTTGTGACAGCGCTGATCTTTTTTTATTGCACATTTTCCATAGTCATGTCTATTTTTGTCTTTCTTGCTTTACAGCTTGTGGAGCTGTCCTTCATCGTTCGCAGGGACATGGCAGCCGCCCCTTGGGACCCTCTCACCAAAACCTCCGCCCCTTTGTGCTCCAATAACCTTCCCTCTCCCGGCCCCTTCCTTGGTAAATCCAAACCTTCCCCCTCCTCTACGCCCCTCCAATCTCCCACCTCCTCGCCCACCTCCCCTAACGGCAAAATGGTATCTCCCTTTCTGTCCTCCAGCGGAGCAGGGGGTGCTGCGATGAACGTTTCCCTGAATAGCAACTCGTCGGATGGTTCATTCCAAGCACAGGGGGACTCTAAGACCTCTGGGCATGGAGGGGGCTTGTCAAAGTCGAAATCCAAGAGGAAAAAGAAGGTGAGAACTCGGCCAATTAAAAAGTGTTGGGGGTACTTCCTTCATCACAAACACCCATTACAACATTACACCTCATTTTCATCAACGTTTGTGACTACAAAGTTTAAAAGAAACTTCAGGTGTGAACAAGGTATCTGTAGGTTTCTCTGGCCTGGAGAGGCTCTGGAGAAGAGCCTGTTTGACATCTCAGTTACTTACTTCCAAATCGAGGTCCTGAAAATTGTTCCATTGCAGTTTTTATTTCAGAATTTAATCTCGAAGTACTGTTTATTTTAATATATTTTAAGCCAAAATCTGAACTTTTTAAATAAATATACTTCGACTGCAGAATAACTTGTCGGTAAAACCTTCCTTGTGTGCCTGTAGGTATAGCGATCCAACGTTGATGACATTATCCTTGAATTGTCAGAAAATCCCCATGTGAGTGCCACTTCGTCATAAATGGACCGGATTAAAGAACTTTAGTAGCAGGCCTCTCAGTTGGGATTTCCTAAGTTTAAAAATACCCAACCTTGTGTCAGTTCCTCAACGCTTTTAAGTCGGGAAGCTGACATTGACCAAAGGAAACCTTATCTTTGCCTCCTCAACAGCCAAGTGGCTCGTCCCTGTTAGCGCTGGTCCAGTATCGTTCCATTAAACCACTTCATGTCCGTGAGGCATACAGGAGGCTTCAGGAGAGTTCCACGCCCATGGCAGCATTCTGTGTAAGTTAACACTCATCTGCATAGTCTGTTTGTTTGTTTGTCTGTCTATTGGATGCCCTCAAACAGTGCACCCCCAAGCGTCAAAAGAAAGACAGATGGTAGTAAGTTTTCCTAGCGGGCTCTTGCATACATTAAGGAATAAATTTGTTACGCGGACTCAGTTTGCTCCGCGTCAAATGCACCACTGATCTCCCTTATCAATGCACACTTATGCAGTGAGCACCAAAAAACCATGCCCTCTTTTGTTGTGCTCGGAGGGGATAAGAATGTCTCAGATTTTCTTGCTGCTCCATCCTGCTTCCTTTATGGACCTTGTGTGAATTCAGCTTTCTTCTGTTTGCCCTTCCCTTCCCAGAAATACACAAGTCATGCAGACAAGGTGAAATATCTGGCTTGCTGACACCAACAGCATCATTCAAGAGGATAGCATCTACCTTGAGTAGAAGGGTCAACAGAGAGGTCAAATGTGTTGTCAGTAGAATAGGATTTTCCAAGCTATCTTTGTCAATGCTGTTTGTATTTTTGTATAGGTTTGTTATTTAATTATTCAACATGTATTTGCTTTCCAGAAAAAGTGCCTTCAGTCTTTTATTCGAGGTCTACGTTTAGGATTATAAATATAATTTTTCATCCGAAAAATGCACAAAAACAATCCAATCTGAGTAATTTCAAAAATCAGACAAATCAGATTTTTTGTCAAAATTTAATTATTTTGCAAGGCCTTAGCCTCACAGTTGTTTGAAAATTTTTGACTCTTGAATTTTGTTTAAAATTCTTTTACCGCATAAACGATAAAAGGCATTACTCTCTAAAAAATGCACGAGGGCGCCCTTTGGCTTTCTTGTTTTGCTGCCATGTGGGGGTAGCGGTGAATGATCAGGGGACTGGGCTGTAGTGTTTGGGTTTGTGAGTTGCTTGGATACGAAGTGTCCTTATGCAAATTGGTTAACCTTTAGGCCAATGAAATTGCAGATTTCAGCGTTCCCTTCGTATCCCTTATAGGAAAGGTAGCAATCCTTTTTGGACAGTAGGTACGTTTTCAGAGAGTAATGCCTTTTATCATTTAGGGGAGAAAAG